GGAAGTGGGCAGGGGTTAGGGCAGAAGGATCATTGGGGTCAGATGAAAGTGGGGTCAAGGGCCACGAATTGAGGATCGGTTCAATTTCGATAATAAGCGTGTTGAATTGTTCGAATGTGAACAATTCCTCCCCGACGACGCGCTTGACGTGATGTTTAAAGGTCCTTACCGCCGCTTCCCAAAGACCACCGAAATTGGGTGACAGCGCTGGGATGAAGTGCCACGCGATGGACTTCTCCGCGAGCCAATTTTGAACCCTTGGCTCTTCTCGAAGCTCACGATAGAGCTGAGATAACTCGTGATCTGCTCCGACGAAGTTAGTCCCGTTGTCGGAGTAGATGTTTTTGCATATACCCCTCCTCGCAACGAATCGTTTCAACGCGGCGATGAATGTTTCCGTTGTCATATCGTTGACAACTTCGAGGTGTAAGTGTACTGCCTTTGTCGCGAAACATACAAACACCGCCACGTACACCATCACTCGGGTTCGATTCCTGAACTTCCTTTCCTTTATGAAAAACGGGCCGCAGTAATCGATGCCGCAATTTAGAAATGGACGGCCTTCGGTGACGCGTGCCGCAGGTAAGTTCCCCATCGTGTAATTGACCGCCGGTGGGTCTATGCGGAAGCACCTGACGCATTGCCGCACGACCTGGCGTGTCGTGTTCCTTCCGTTGATCGGCCAGTATTGTTGTCGAACGATCGACAACGTGGTGTTGATGCCCGCGTGGTGAGCTTCGAGATGGGCGTTGCGTATGATGATGGTTGTGAGATGGTGATGTTGGGGTAGCAGTATGGGATGTTTCGCTTCGTACGGTAAGGCTGAATTTTGAAGGCGGCCTCCTACTCGCAGTAGGTCATCCTCGTCCAGGAAGGGCCGCAACGGTAGCAGTTTGCTGCTGTTGGGCAGGTCCCTTTTGTCTCTAAGAGCTCGCAGTTCTTCCTGGAAGGCGGACCCTTGCAGGAGTTGCATCATTTTAATATTGGCTCGGTGGAGCTCCTCTGCCGTTAATGGTCCCTTGTTTTTACGGTACCTTCCAAACCGAAGACAATATGCGACGATTCTGCGTAATCGTTTCACGCAAGAATATCGCCTCATAAGGTCTTCGGCGTACGAGGTGGAAGACGCGAAACACGCGACCGATCGGGTTTCTGGAACCTCGGAAATAATGTTGACCGGCGAGGGCGGCCATTCCGACTCCGGGTTGGTCATCCATCTCGGTCCGTGGCGCCAGATCGGGTCCTTCAGGAATCGTTCTGCCGTTTGG